TCTACTCATGTCATGGCGGTGCATTCCATGCCTGATTTTCTGCGCCATTCAGAGTAAGAATGACCCGTTGACGGGTGGTTAACCAAAAACACTCCACGAATGACCAGGTAGGAGCATCTGTCTTTTAGCGACTTTACTGTCGAAGCGGAGATGGCAATCACATCCAGGAACCTGCCCACGGCTGGGAACGCGCAGGGATGTCGACTGACTGTGCGGAGGTCAGACTCTTAGTCGGAGGTGACAACCAATGTTGCCCACACGAGCCACGTAATCAACGCTGGCGTATTTGAGATGGTGGGTCCGGGTGACACCCGCCGGTCAAGGCCTGACTGTCAAGCAACAGTCCGGTCAGCCGGCACATTGGCCTGTCTGCGCATTGATGGTTTTGCACCATCACTCACTAGGCGGTAGTCGAGGCATCAACCAGTTAGGGCCGCTTATTTTGCCACTGAAAAGGAGGCATTGACACACACGCACCATAGCACAATGACGCCCCCATTCTTACGCATTATCGACATTGGTTAATCCCCTCTCATCCAGGATGAATTAGAAACATGTGCATTATTGTAATAGCCATCTCAGTTATCGCAACTGCAAAGTAAATTCGATCCTCATAAACTCAGCTTACAAGCACACTCCTCACGGACCCGGAGAATATGGGCAGCTGGGAGGTATTCGCAACAGAAGAGGTTGTGATATATGGCAACTGCGTTTTTTTTACATTAATTCACCCAAGGGGACTGACGTCACGATGTCTAAAACACAAGACGCCTGTTAACACGACGATGAGCAAAGAAATTGTGAGCGGTTTATCGAGCAGATGACGAGAATTCTGTTTGGGGTCTGCCACCGGTGTCTCCTGAAATATGAGGCTCTGACCAAGCAAACGAGTCGAGTGTTTTCACATTCTCGGTGATTGCATCTCCAATGACCTTGGGAAAACCATCTCCGCTCTTGTGCTCCACAGACAAACCTAGAAGACATCAATGTTGGAGTGGTGACTGAAGAAGTTATTACCAGCAGACGCGGAAGGTTCGGAATTGGTTCATAACTTCTCATTCAAGCAGGTAACAAACCAGCAGTTACGAGCACTAAGAGATGAAGTTTGCTTCAACACCACAGATGCCGACCCGTCTGCGTCATTGCGCGCCCGAAAAAATGCTTGGGAGAACTCAAGCAACCGCCGACTATAAGCATTCTGGCATTACCGACAAAGACAAGGGAAACTAGAGTGACCATTTCTGGCTTATTAGCCATCGTTAGCCAGTCATACCCAACCCCAAAGTGTGGACCACCTGGGGCTGGATCCAGCGACCTCTAATAAGCCAGGAATGGCTATTCCAGTTTCCCTTTTCTTTGTCGGTAATACCCTTCTGTCTATTTTATGCACCGCTGTGAGGCTGCCGATTGAGCTCGAGAGAGTCCGTAAGGCACAACGGAACGATTGAATTCCGTAGAAACGATCGATGAGTGCCCCACTATCATAATAAGCACTCTGTTTGACAACCTGTTGCCTCCCTGCCGATGGCGCCCAGGCAAACTTTATGTTTCGTCGAGCGATTCCGAAGATATGATGGGAGTGAGGAGGGACGAGTAACTGTTGTTACGAAGCGAAATGTCTACAAGTTGATGACAGAGAATTTTAGCGACCAGCACCTAAGTCACAAACCAAAATAATAAGAGTTCTGTCAAGTAAATTAATTACAGAGTTCAGACGCAGAAAACGTAATCATGGCGGATGAATGACGTCAAATGCAATTGACGGGCAATTCTCTGGCTCGATTCCACTGTCTGTGAAAGATCCACAAATCTAATTTTCCATTGCCGTCAATCGTTGCTCTTAAAGGCAGCCTCACAGATGATATGACAAAGTGGGCGTACTCAAAACTGAACTTCCTCCAAGTTCGATCAGCTTTCCGATTTCTTGTAGTATTCCGAGGTCCGGGGGTTCCACCGAACGAAATCATAGTCTGTTTTGGCGTGACGTCATTATTCACATCTGTTCGCAGAATTTGGCACACGAAGTCTTCCGCAGCAAACTCGAAGAAACACATGAGGAAACTTAAAGCACTCTCCAAACTGGGTGGCATGCTCTGCCATGCACCAGGCACGTTTCGGAAGCGACCGGACGCGTTGCTGCTAAACTAGATGATAGGGGGGACGCCAGCTCAAAGCTCTGACGTGCAGCAGGATCATGAAAATCAAGGACCATTCAAACCCTAGTGAGGAGTTGGGTTTACTAAATCCTATCCCGTGACTAAACCGTCCGTGCAATTACGCAGGTCATGCTGAACGCATACTCAGGTCGCGCATACACAAACGTAAGCAGGCAGAGCAAGAGGGCGACAGATTATGACATTGGGCCGTTTGGGAAGAAGGGGACACGATCGCTAGGACAAGAGCTTTATCCGCCTGACGTTTCAGACTCCTGTTCGTATCCCTCACCAGAGACCATAGCAGATACCGGTGGTTCATGCACAAGGGGCCCAAGTATTTTTAGGATACAGTGACCATGCTACCATAGGCCTATGAATATTTTTAACTCTCCCCCTTCATCAGTGATTGTTGCACTTGGTGTACTGATTGTTTGATGGCCGACATTCGCGTCGTTAATTGCTGCAATTTCATCACGGGTGTTGGATGTTGGTGTGATGATTGCTCGCTAATCTAACCGACTGACCTTGGCGTTGGGAACAGTGCTCACCTGTGCGCTCCCCCTGTGGTTAATTACTCTGCCCAGGCGAAGTGTCAGCGCAGAGTATGGAAGGGGAAGGACGTTGCACTTGTTAATAGACTGTGGGCCAGCGAACCATGACTCAAGCAGCTCGCGGCTCACGCAGTAATCACCTCAAGTGAGAATTTCGGCCTCGTCGAATTTAAATGTGTAATCGGATCTCGTTGAATGTGCCGCAACTTGAGAGCTTTCACTCAGATGCGAGCACGCACGTAAGAACACGGGGTCAATGTGTCTCTGACAGGTGCATTTGACTGCCGCCCAAAGTTTCTCCTATTCTAGAGATTTAATGGAGAATCAAGTCATCTTTATATTTATGCTCGAAGAAGGAGTATAATAAGGTTTTAAAAAATTTTCTCCTTTCCGAATAATTTGGCGCCTGATCTGCCGTTCCATTAGGGCTTAGTGATTTCAGTCTCAAGGTGAATGCCTTCCGCGTAAATAACATTCCATCTTCTTCTATGCCTTTATAAAGATACCATAGGGAGTTCATAAAATTTTCCAATAGATGTGGACTATATCGTAAATTTCAAGGGAAGCATGGATAAACGTACAGGTGCAGGACTGTATGTATGGACATTGCACGGTCTTAAAAAATCTCATAAGTAGAAACTTTTTTAAAGCCTAATTATACTCCTTCTTCACGCATACAATACAACGATAACGAGATTGTCTGCGAAACGAAGAAGAGGAAGCATAATTTGTGCATGTTTTCTACAAAATATATTTGAATTTATAAGAACATTGAAAATCAACGTGAAAAATGCATGCCACTTAAGCAGTCACATTTTATTCAGTGCGGTTTCTACAGGAGATCAAAAAGAAGTGAATCCAAAAGTTGACATCCTACTGAGTTCGAAATCTTATAGGATTATGCCGCAAGATAATCAGTATTACAAGTAATCCTTGCTGAGCCAAAACGCTTTTCAGAATTTCATCCAACATTTCATGAGATCGGTCACTCACGCGCATATATATACTGAAATATGTGCATCCCAAGAAGCATAATTCGAAAAAAGTGAGTCTTTTGGAAAAATGAACGGTTTATTTCATAAATTTTTGACTCTGGTTGCCCAGGTCATCGTCAGACGTGTAGCAAATGCAAAAAACAGTTGCGATTTAAACATGTCCGAAAAATCGAAATTGCTTAGTCAGTGTTGAGGGTTAGACGATCCTGTGGGCTGACGTCCCGTTTTGATTGGCTATCAGCTTTTATATTTTTCTTCGACATTTGTGTACATGGCGTCCAGATCGATGTGTCGATCGATGCATGAATCATCAGAGTGGATGGGTCCTAGGAATTTTCGGTCTTTCTTGTATGGGCAGGAAACAACAATGCGTGTTTTATCCCAAGAAAATTAGTGCGACATGGGATAGATGGTCTCGCCTCTTTACTGCCAATCGGTGTTCATGTAGGCGTGTGGAGGCGGATTTCCCGGTTTGACCACAATATACCACATTACAAGCGTCACATGGAACCTTACGGACTGCTTCTTTTTTACTCAAATACCTAACCCTTTCCTTAGGTTGCACACGCTGACTGCGTAGCGTAGTCGTTGGTTTGTGGGCCACTTGTATTTGGTGCTTCCTCAAATGTCTTTCAACGAGTTCAGACACCTTTTGATGTAAGGAAACGTCCGCCATCTATATTTCTGTGCAGTCGCCATGCTACCGCATCCAATAAATACTGCAGACCCCTGTGCATGAACCACCCGTATCCGCTATTGTCTTTGATGTGTGGCGGTCACGGACGAGAGATCAACTTAAACCACGCACAATAAGTTCGTTTCGTCTACTGTCAGAAGTCAGGGAGCTGTGAGGACTAGTTTATTCTGTACACAGGGCAGGTTGCCGTAAGTTGGCGGTTTGCTTGCAACAGAGAAAAGCGTCCGTTCACGGAGAGCGTCAGTCGCGGTGTGTAGTTTACGCGGGAGTGAAAGGTCTGTGTCAGTAGGTGGGGGTGACTGGTTGGATGCTGGTCATGAGATTGGACTGATTAGGGGGAGGCATAATTACAGGGGCTTACGGGTATCAAGCCAGGTCGTCCGACGCGCATGAGCTGATAATTGTTTGGGGGGCAGCCGGGGATCACTGCAACTGGACAGGAGGGGGGTACAGTTATAATCGGCGGGGGTGGTTGTGTGTCAGCGGCCTGGCAACGATTGTCGCGGCCATCGACCGACAAAACGGAGCCGGAGAAAAGGGGAAGTGGAGCGGCTGCTACAACTCCCCCCCAGACACCAAACGGAGTGAAGGCGTCGACATGCTAGCCAGCCACAAACCTGTCGGGCCAGTGGACGTGACGACCAGATCGTGTGCGGCGAACCGGAGGGGGGCTGTCGCTAGTAGGTGGATGCATCAGTGTTTGCTGCGGGGTGCAGTGTTGGGGTGAGGAATGGTCACTGTCGTCGATGAACGCCGGCTTGACGCGGTCAATGCTGACTGTGTCGGTCTTGCCGTTGCGGTCGATGACAACATCTTTGTCAGATCGACGAAGGACTTTATACGGCCCGTCATAGGGTGGTTGGAGTGGTCGTCGGACAGCGTCATGCCGAACCAAGACGAAATTGCACTTATCTAGGTCGGGAGGGATGAAGGAATTGGCCGGTGACGCCCGAGGGGGCGTTGCGCGGAGATTGCGCATGACACTACGCAGCTGCTCCACATAACTGCAAGGCTCAAAAAACGTTAGCATGTTTGAGGGGGACACTAACTCACCGGGCAGTCGGAGGGAGGTTCCGTAGACAAGATCAGCCGCAGTGCAACCAATGTCGGCCTTGAGAGTGGAACGAAGGGACAACAGCACCAGGGGAAGGTGATCAGACCACCGGGAAGGATCGGGCTGGGCCATAAGGGAAGTCTTCAGCTGTCGATGGAAACGTTCGACGAGACCGTTTGCTTGAGGGTGGTACGCTGTTGTTCGGATTCGGTTGGTACCGAGAAGGGATGTGAGTTCGCGAAACAGCGTGGACTCGAATTGGGATCCGCGGTCAGTCGTGACAGTCGCAGGAACTCCAAAATTGGACACCCAATGATTCAAGAAAGCTTTCGCAACGGTTTCAGCACTGATGTCCGGAATGGGCGCAGCAACCGGCCACCGAGTAAAGCGATCAATACATGTCAGCATATAGGTAGAACCGTTAGATGGTGGCAGCGGACCTACCAGGTCAATATGCACATGACTGAAGCGTGCATCAGGGGAAGTGGAGCGGCTGCTACAGATGTTCGGTTCGATCAGGGATCCGAAAAGTCCGGCAAATAAAGCCCTTGTCCCATCGATCGTGTCTCTTTCTTCATGACTGCTTCCTGGGACTCGTCTCTTCACTTCTATTGGCAATGGGGTTGCGCACACATTCGGAACGAGTCATGCGTTTAATTTCGCAGCCATCGAGATGATCGCTCACGACTAAAATGATCCAAGCCAAGAATTGGTTGAAGGCTATGCCTCGGACGCATCGATCTGGCGCCGGCATACAGAGTCCTGTTCAGTCACCTCTGAACTTGCATTCCTCCTCGTTAATTTGGTAACAATCCCCCATACCTGTCGTCCGTTCTGTTGCTGCTGTCACCTCTAGGAATTCGGAAACTAAGAAAAGTAAGCGAATATTTCCGGTAATTGACCAACCTTATTCCCCCTTGCTCACACACGCACACGGGATTCGAGCATTCGCCTCCATTTGTGAAGCAATGTCTTCCCAAAATATATCTAAACAAGGAAAAAGTGACACCATATACATAAATTGATTACTTCATTGAATATCTCGACCGCCTATTTAACTGCCTACGTTCAGTGTATATCACCGAGATTAACTGCAAGGCAAGAAATCTGCTTGGAAAGATCACACGTGATAGGTAAATAAAAACAGGGCATGTTGGTCTGACAAGCGAGTGGGCCATGGTGTGAGAGGGGAGGGGACGAGTAATTACTGCTTCAGTTCTAAGAATATAAACTAAACTATTGACCTGGACTTACAAAAAGAACAGATTATTTTAGTGCGAACGTCATACCGACGAAGAATATGCAACATTATCTTAGAGTACATCACACACAAGAGAAAGCTTACCTAGCTACCTCCGTTACCTTAACTCGTAAATGCCGCTTAAAATTATATTAAAACAGACTTCGTCTTTATTGCCGATGGATGTGAGAATCCATTGCTTCGGCCAGGAGGAGTGGTGTCATTTATTTTTGCAAAATGCTTGTACGTTTTCTAAACATATTGTGTTCCAGACGAATTAATTTTTGAAACATGGTTCGCGTTGCATAGTAACTGGCAATTCGCAAAGTCCTTGGGTAGGAAAATGTCTTAGTTCGCCTTTTTGCTGCAGTATCAGATGGAAAAAGGGGGCGGCCTAGTTTAAAAACTTGGGGGAAAGGTCCGCGAACATTGGGACACATGCATGCTCCGGTAAAAGCGCCAAGTGAATGTGGATTTGATATTTTGGACCGGAAAAAGATTCATTAATGGCATTATGAAAAATTCCACCGAGTCCAATCCCGCATCCGTTGAAGACCGGCTCAAACAGTGGGTCAGTGTCTGGGAGAGGGAAGAAGGGGATTGAAGTCGACAATCACTCTAAACAACCTGACGGCTTTGCATCTTTTACTGCGCGCCATAAGCCGCGGCCTGAAATGTTGTCAACTGCCGGTGTAGTCCAGTTGCCCTCTCAGGACGAAGGATCATGCTGCAGTAGCTCCTTCTCAATATAGACTCTATGGCACCCCAACTCATTCGGTATCGGAGTTGCTTCCTGTTTTCTTGTTGCTTGTAAACGTTGTCCATTGTGCGCCGACCAGTCGCGTATGGCACACTTAGGCGGGTCGATTGGCTCTGTCAGACACTGGATCCCATTCCGTCTCCGGTTTTCTTGACTTTGTCTTGACACGGAGCACAGATTAGTAAGGCTTTAGAGAGGGTGCAGTAGATGCTGCGTAAGTCCACTGTCTGTTCGCCCACCCCGCGGTGAGGCACACTGGGGACATTGTCAGAGGCGGCGGTCGAACTGTCATTAACAATACGCGTTTAGTTTATTCTTGTAGGAAAAAGGGTATTTTTCGAATACAGATTTTGCAACTCACTGTTCAGCTTTAGGGCATCGCCTACAATATAACCGCTTTAGAGTAAATTTCACATTTTAAGTCGATTGTTTCGTGCACGATATAACGCAATGAGTATGCATGGAGTAAGTAGGCTACCTCATGAAATCTCAACAGAAATTCCGAAATGCGTTTTCATTTCGAAAAGATTAATTAAGTAGGGTTTTAAAACTAGTCAGTCTGCAACATAATTCTCTAATAATTCAGCTACCCCTGGACGTCGGCTTTCGAAAGAACTTCTTTTCGGCTTCATCTAAAAACCATCCTCCGCAAAAAAATAACTATTAAATTAGCATGCATTTTTTCACTGATTTTTGATGCCCTTAAAGATTCAATTATATTAAGTGGAAAACATGCATAAAAATATTCACGCGTTTGCTCATTTAGTAGGAAAGTACGTTTTCTTTCAATTCTACCCTCGAAGGAAGAGTATAATTAGGTTTTATAAAACTTTTCTAATTCTCGGATAATTCTGAACACGACCTGCCGTTACACTTGCATTCTAGGTCCCCAAACTACAATTCGTATAATTTCCGCGTATGAAAAACCATACATTTCTCTGCGGTATTAAGGGGAGTTCATGCGAGGTTTATAAAATTAAGCAGCGGATTTGAACCACATTGTTAACTTTACAAGACATGTTGGTACATGACGCTTTATGAAGGGCCATTTCACGGTATTAGAAAACTTCACAATTATAAACTTTTAACAACCGAATTTTACCCTTCATTTGAGTGCAAAATTGTAAGGCAATGTAATCTTTACTGAATGAGCAAAATAATGAATATTTTATGCATATTTTCCGTGTTATATAGTTAAATCTTTAAGGGCATCGAAAAGCAATGAGAAAAATTCATGCAACTTAAATAGTTATTTTGCGGAGTATGCTTTTAGATGCAGCCGGAAAGAAGTTCCTTCGAAACCTAGCGTCCTGAGGCCGCTGACGTATTACAGAATAATGCTGTATGATGATTGTTTTTGCAACCTTACCTAATTAATCTTTTCGAAACGAAATCATATTTCGGAATTTCTGTTGAGATTTAATGAGTTAGCTCACTTACTGTGTTTCCAACTAAAGCATTCTATGATGCTGATGGGTCATATATCTGATCTTCTCTCGTAAATTTTACAGGACTGTCACAAACAACATTTTGTGTTCGAATTCTATCCATTACAGGCATGAAGTTGGGGTATGGCTTGGCTGGAAACAGCCAGTAGGCCGAAAATGTCAACCAATTCCCCTTGCTTTTCGTCGGTATCTCATCTACGCGTATAATTTTCGCCGGTCAACAGGGCAACCAGATGAACTTACAATGAGAGTTTCTGTGATAGAAGACTTAAGGGGATAAAAATGAACAAAAATTCGGAAGTCCGGGCAAATTTACCTGGGCAATTAGATTAAACCCGACGGTGCAATTTCACTCGGCATTTCCAAGAAATCACATTTTGCCCCAATAACTATTGGCGACAGTCTAAGTTTGCTGCCTAGTAGTGAATGTTTCCCATTACCTTCCATAACTGTACAGCAAAAGTTCATATCGTAGAAACCTTACCTCGACAGCCCTTAAGAATGGCCAGGAGTAAACATCCCGGATGTTGGTTTGTTGTTCTTTAAGGACTCGGCTATTCAGAAGTGTTGATTAGTCGCCCTGCGTCCTTTCTCAGATGGGGAACACTCCGCGGAACTTTACTGACACCTAAGTAACTACTAATTCGGTTATATGTCAGATTACAGAAACTATCGGTGAGCGTATTATTTTAATTTTACACTTTCTTCACTATGAATACTTTGCGGCTCTGAGGTCTCGGGACAACTTTGAGGATTCAACCAACCCACGAAAACCTCACAAGCTTGTTCTCCTTTCCCAAGGCCCATCTGATGAAACTCAGACCCAAAGGCATCTTAAAGCTACTCTGATCGGGATGGCGTCATCGAGTAAAGTTCTGCCTTTTTCTTGGTTCACTTATACGCTAGCACCTGGTGTCCTGAGATTCTGGGTAATTCATCTGTGACAGAACACACCCACAAAAGCCAAACCTCTGCTCTTCCGTTTCGGTTGAGATTTAGGGGTTTTCATTTAGGACTATTCGCATGGGGACACGTAACTTTCACTGCACAAAGCACTCTGTCCCTTCGTTGCCTGTTAAGAGACAAAAGGAATATTTGGTTTGTTTAGGCAGATGCGGTCCTCCGATTGTGAGGGTTAGGGGCGGGGGCATTTCTTAACAGACTTCTTTTGCAGCCACCCATCTTTTCCCACTCCACGTGGTGGCGACCGGAGTTTCATTGAAAAATAAAAGGAAGATACCCTCCTTGGCATACGTATGGGTGCGTAGAATACCCTTTTGGCGCCACATCCCCTATTAAGTCCCACAACACCCTTTTCCCAGTCGTTTGTTATATGCCGTTATATATCACGAAAATTACTTCCTACTTCTTACTCTTAGCGCTCATAGCCATTAGAACCAATATAAGATAGAGCTACAAAGACTATGAAATTGAGGGGTTAAAACTACGAGTCGGCTGGACCACACACAGAGTATGTGCTCTCTTGGAAAATGTCCACTGACTCACTAGGTACCCTTGGCGCCGATTTTTAACAGAATCATTTGATTGACGGTTCTCTGCCTCCTTTGAGAGTTGGTTTGTTGCCTACCCACATTTTAAGGCGTACGGAAAGCGCATTATTCTTCCGGCATACAGAGAGGACGATTTGCAAATGTCCAATGAGGAAGACTTCAAACTTAAAAGACGTTCATGTTTCAGTAAAATGGTGTCACTTTGTCGTACCGATTACTGTGTCCAGGGCAGGCAACTGCTTTCAGGCTTCGTACATGCACCCTACCCCCTCTAAATTTCTCGTCCACATAAACTACTGTTAGAGCTATCGCGTCCTTTCATTTAAGTCAGTTTATTAAGGGAATGAGGTTTTCGCCCTTGAGCTCCCTATTCATATCGATAAACAGAAATAAAGTCATCAATTACATCAGCAAATGCGGAAAGTTTAAAAGTTAGCGGTAAGTGTGAG